GGCCAAACTGATTCCTTGCTTAAAGTAACCAGGTCAATGGTCTGGAGAGAGGGCTACACTGCCTTTCCCAGGGAGGGCCTCAGAGGGCCCTGGAGCAGGCTGGGGGAGGGCATTAGCTGCCCCCTGTGACTTCAGAAAAGGCCTGGGAAGGAGGTAAATCGTCAGGCGACATTTGGCTTAAAATATATAAAAACCTCAAATAGTAATGTCTATTGGAACAACATAATAAAAAGTGAAAGCCCCTGTTAAAAGCTGATTTGTACCCCCACACACATTCATATGTTGAAGTCGCAACCCTTGGTACCTGAGAATGGGACTGTATTTGGAGATAGGGCCTTTATTTTATTATTTTATTTTTTAAAATATATCTTTATTGATTCCAGAGAGAGGAAAGGAAAGGGAGATAGAAACATCAATGATGATTCATTGATCGAACCCACAACCTGGGCATGTGCCCTGACCGGGAATCGAACCCTGATCGCCTGGATCCTAGGTCGATGCTCAACCACTGAGCCACGCCCGGCCAGGCTGGAGATAGGGCCTTTAAAGAGCCGGGCCGGGCGTGGCTCAGTGGTTGAGCATTGACCTAGGATCCAGGATATCACGGTTTGATTCCCAGTCAGGGCACATGCCCAGGTTGCGGGCTTGATCCCCTCTGAGGGGTGTGCAGGAGTCAGCCGATAAATGACGACTCTCTCATCATTGATGTTTCTGTCACTCTCCCTCTGCCTTCCTTTCTCTGAAATCAATAAAGATGTATTTTTTTTAAAAAAAAAGAGGTTATGAAGTTAAAATGAGGCCCTTAGGGTGGCCCTAACCCAATCTGATTGGTGTCCTTACAAGAAGAAGAAAGCTGGACACAGAGACACCAGGGATGGGTGTGCACACACAGGAAGACCATGTGAGGACAGGGCAAGAAAGCAGCCATCTGAATGCCAAGGAGAGAGGCCTTGGAAGAAACCGGATGTGCCAACACCCTGACCTTGAGCTTCCAGAATTGTGAGAGAATCAATTTCTGTTTAAGCTGCCCAGTCTGTGGTATTTAGTTATAGCAGCCCTAGCAAAGTAATACATTGTCCTTCCCCATTCCCAAGCACAGAGGTAACAACTTCAGCCATCAGCGGCACCCCTCTAACTTCTCCCATGCATATGTAACCATATGAAGATATATACTTTTTTTTTTTTTTTTTTACAAAAATAGGATTCAGCCATACACACTGTTCCACTACTAACTTTCTTCATCCCACTGTATGCCATGGGCATGTTTCCATGTCAGTATCTACCCGAGAGCTCCTTTGATTGCTCTCTAATAGCCCACCCTATGGAGGCAGCATTGTTTCTGGTTTCCTCTCTGGATGCACAGGTGGTTGGTTGCTGCTCCTTTTGCTGTCCTTGTGCCTCCAGGGTGGGCTCACCTGTAGGATAAACTCCTAAGAGCAGAATTGCTTTTCGTATTTTACATAGATGTTGCTAAGTGTACATTCCCACCCTCAGGATATGGGTGGGCAGGGTCTGTTTGCCCAACACTCTCACTCTCCACCGCTTGGTTTTTCTCAAGAAACAGATGCTGGAAAGGAGATAGTGGGACTGGGACATTTGGATCTAAGGGAATCCAACCATTTGACCCAGAGAAGGGTCCGCAGAAGCGGGGGTAAGGGAGTCTAGAGGGAAAAGGCCAGAGGGGCTCCCTGGCACAGTGTAGAGAGGTGATCAGTTCTGTTTGCTCATTCACCGAACACTTATAAGCACGGACCGTGCCTCAGGCCCTGACAGCACATGGCAGTGAACAAATTGTAGGCCCTGTCCTGGTGGAAACAGAGTCTCACCAGGGAGACACAGTCAACAAGTGAACAAGTACAAGTTGTTTCAGGTGGCGCTGAGAACTGCCCAGAGGATGAGTTTGGAGAGCAGTAAAGGACCGAGTGGCTGATGCACGTGGAGGCAGAAGGAAGGGAAAGAAGCAGAGAGGGAGGCAGGACCTCGTGCCCCCTGGGACGGAGGCTTCATTCAACAGGGGATCTCAGGAGGGTGCTGATCAAGGTCATGGTCGAGCTGATTTCTAAAGGGCGCCTCTTGACATCTAAGAAACCATTAGCATTGGAGACAGTGGCACTTGGACAAGCAATCAGGGCAGATCTGGAGAGAAGCAGATGGAATGAGCAGGACTCTCACCAGGATTTTTACCATCAGCAGAAAATAGGAAAGCACAGGAAAAGCCCTGGGTGGAGGGGCCTGGGGACAACTGTTTTGCTTATCAGTCCCTGTGTAACAAACTACCTTAAGCAGCCTTGAGGCTTAAGTGGCTGAAAACATTTAATTATATCTCATGATTTTGTGGGTCAGGAATTTGGTCAGAGCTCAGCAAGGAGCAGCTAGATCCTTCTGCTCCACATGGCCTCAGCGAGGACCACTCAGTGGTGACGAGGCGGGGCTGGAGGGTCGCAGACAGTTTTGCTCACACGCCTGGGCTGGGATGCTAAACAGCTGGGCTCTCCATGTGGCTACTTGGGCTTCCTTGCACCATGGCTACCTCAGGACAGTCAGACTTCTTACATGGTAGCACAGGGCTCCAAGAGTGGATGTCTTAAAAATAGGAGGTGTAATCAGTTTTGTAAGGCTTGAAAACTGGCACAGTAACACTTCCACTGTATTTTATTGGTCAAAGTAGTTCCAGAGCTCACCAAATTCAGGGGGAGGGGACAGACTTCTCCACCTTTCAGTGGGTGGGGAGTCACCGAATTTGCACCATCTTTCCTCTCCTGCACTGCCCCTGACAGCCTTCTCTTGGTACTGGGCATCATATTATGCACTGTGGTCAATTTAAACCTGCTTGTCATGTAGCAGGTTCCACTCTCAAGCCTCAGCCAAGCTCAGTGTGCAAGAAATATGTTTAACATTTCCTTAGATCAGGGTTTCCCAACCTCAGTTGGGGCCAAATACTTGTGAGGAGCTGTCCTGTGCAATATAGGATGTTTAGCAGCATCCCTGGCCTTCATAGCACGCCCACCCTCCAAGTTACAACAACCAAAAATGTCTCTGGACATTGCAAAATGTCCCCTGTGGGCAAAGTCATCCCTGGTTGAGAACCACCGCCTTGGGATGAACTCATTCTGACTCCAAGCCCCCATCCTACCCAGCTGTCAGGATAATTTATCCCAGCTATGACTAGAGCCCAGCCCCTTCTCTAGCCAGGTGGTCCTGAATTGGGGCAAGAGTGTGTGATGCCCTTAACCTTGGCAAGCGTGCTGATCCACTGTCTATCATGGTTGTCATCAGTGTCCTCACTGGGTGGTCACCTGAGTACAGCAGCTCTCCTCTCATCCTCCACCCCAGATCGAATCTCTCAGGGTATGGCCTGGGACCCCAGACTGGGGATCCCCTCTGACTCTGACCACCCACCAACTAAGGGAGACAACACTTCTTTCCCCTTTCCCTTTCCCTTTCCCTTTCCCTTTCCCTTTCCCTTTCCCTTTCCCTTTCCCAGTCAGAGCTAGGAGATGGCTGGGGAGTCACGGAGGGGTCTGTATCTGGCTGATAGTATTTGCTGATGAGCTGAATGTGGTGGTGAAAGGAGTCAAGGACACCTCCAAAGTTTCCTGCCTGAACCAGTCCGGGAATGGCAAGGCCATTGATGGGAGGGAAGCCAAGGGAGGGACAACTTAGGGGGAGAATGTCAGGAGCTCCAATTTGAACACATTGGGAAGTCCATGAGCCTTCCAAGTGAAACATCAAGGAGGCATCTGGGTAGATGAGTCTGGAACCTGGGAGCTAGATCTGAGCAGAAGATGGAAGTGTGGAAGTCATCCGAGATGGTATTTATAGCCCGAAACTGGCTGAGGTCACTCCGGGAGGCAGTGTGGATGGTGAGGCCCCAGGCTGGGTTCCAGGCTCTCTGAGTAATTATTGGATAATAATTATCACTGTTTTATTCCTTGAAGTCTCTGGCACAGTGCCTGGCTCCCCGTAGAAGTTCACTGAATTGAACAGAACTCGATGGCACTTTATTTCCCACCACGCTT